ACTATACTTGGACTATATATGGACTGAAAGTGTGTAGTGAGTTGCCCAATCACAAGATACACAATCCACGGTGACATCAGCTTCCTTTCCAGAGAAGAGTTACAAATCCTTGGGAAATTTAAGAGGAAAACCCCCCAAAACAAAACAGTTTTTAATATTAAAACCAATCATTTTCACCACACTGATATGTTTGGAACACAAACAAGCTGTTAAGGATGCCAGTGAGTGTACTACCACAGTAGTTCTGTGGTAAGTTTTTGCCCTCCAGGCCATCAACAAAGTCCTCCAGCCAAATCTCTACACAATTACAAACGGTGTAACAAAAATTGTTACAGGAAACATTTACAAAAGGAACAGTAATTGTATTGTATCATATTCCTCAGGAAGTCATTATCATACATTTCCAGAATATCTTTATCATCTCAGTTTAGAAAGAATTTCCTCCACTGGTTGGGAGAATATTTGCGCTGGTGTTAGAAAAGAAACGAAGGACAGAGTGTTGTGGATAGGGGGAGAAGTTAGTGATTCCAGGTTAACTTACCAGGTTTGTGATCAAAGTCTGCAGCACAGGTAAGTTTGCATTAGCACAGTTACCACGGGGCGATGCATCGGTCTGTGAAAAGCTATCCACTCCACGATTCTACGCCTGTTTCCCTTTTTACCCGTTTTTTATCCTAATAAAGAAAAACATGCAAATACCCCGGGCCACTAATATCAGATCAGCTACAGTAATAATTGCTGCTCTGTCAGGGCAGTCTGTTTTCCTGTTCCTGTTGTCTGCTGTGTTAATCATTGTGATCTCATTCACCTGTGTCTCAGTCATTAGTCTCACTCGTGTCACCAGGGTATAAAGACCTCTCTCCCTCACTGTGTCAGGGTGGGATCATTGTTGGTTGGTCAGTTCATGTGAGTCAGTTGGTGGTCAGTGTTCGTAGTCCATGTGTTGGAGAAGGCCATGTCTGCCTTCTACCATGACGACACGTGACATGCTGTTTTATAGTGCCAACAATGGGAAGACCACTCCACCATTCAAAAATCAATCCATTCATCCAGCTGACACACAATGATGTAATGCCAGTGTAGAAAATTTGCTTTGAAACACTTGGCTAATGGTTGCAGCAATAACAGCTTCAACGAACGGTGTCTATAACAACAGATCATACAAAGCTAACGTTGTAGACAGTTTCCAGCCTTTCCACCATCTTTCTGAAGCACACCTGGTGTCAGATCTGGTTTAATACACCCTAAGTCTATTCTAAAAACTACAACGTAATAATGAAGAAAGTAGAGAAGGACATTTCTGGTAATATTCTGAAATCCATCATGTAGGTGAGCCACTGGTGAAGATATTTGGTGTATGCTTACTTAGAGCTGTAGAAGCAATTGGTACTTGAGAAACCTTATTGATTTTATGTCTTATTTAATATTCCCTTGCCGAATTCTGATCAGCTGAATTTGGAAAAAAATGATCTCCTTTGATCTCTTACATCCTGTACTGAAACTGTCCCATTCTGAAAAAAAACTGTTGAATAACTTAAGTTGCAAATTAAGCAAAATGGGACAAATTTCCATCAACTAAGTTTCAGCGATTACTGTAGTGTTATTGAGCATACAGCTGGGTGTGTTGTAGACATCATATTCTAAATTAAAGTGTACATTTTCCAAAAGACCAATAAAGTTAATCAATTTAAATATAAAATATATTTGTATTAATTGGATATTACGTGTAAGTAATTTGAGAATCTTAATTTTTTTCTTTTATTTATGCTTCCCACAACATCTCAACTTCAGAAGATGACGACGATGTCATGCTGCTGCTTTGAAGGAGACTAAGCAGTATTTGGGTTAATGCCCTCATCGTGTGTGTGTGTGTGTGTGTGTGTGAGTGAGAGAGTTTAGCTAAGAGGGCTTTTGCTTTACTCTGTTTATTTTCTGAATTAACTGTTGTACAAATGACTAATCTGAAGGGTCTCTAACGTCTGTGACGCAGTTAGATGAGTGAACTGTAAACAGTCTGACACTATTTTTTAAATACTTCAGAAAGACAGAAAATGCAAACATGGTCAGGTCAACAGAGTGCAGGTCTCCTCTTTGTAACGCCGGTGCTTAAATAATTCAACACAGTGATTCCCAACCATTGCACCACGAAACATTTGTGAGACGTTCAATTTTAATTTAATTTAATTTTAACTATAATTCATTACCTGCACAAATTATGTCAGAACCCTTAAATATTCTTTCGCTGGGTGGCAGCAAATGGCTACAAAACTTTTTTTTTTAAATAAAACGGGCACTTACAGCTGTTAAATGTCTTTTTTCACCTTTTCCTTCAATTCATGCAAACATGTCAGCGTTGTGTTCATCTAAACAGGCCCAGGTTTCACACTGAGTAAGTCAATTGAAACTACATTGTTAAGTTCTATTACATACTATTTACTTATACTGATATGAGATTTTTTTCTAATGAGAAACATACGCCTTAGTTCGAAAAAGGTTGACCGAGACTGCTTTAACACATAACTACTCTTTCCAACATCGCTCAGTCTCCTTGGGTCTAATCTAATCTAACACTACCTGGAAAATCCTGGCTCCTTCTATTCTGTGCAAACCTATATAAGCTGCTGGAGGCAGTGTCAGTTAGACCCTTTATGTTGTCTCTTATTTCCCCAGTTCCCGTCACCTTGTGGTGGTCACATTTGGGGCCCTAACATGCGTCTGACCCCCTTTAGGGAGGGCAGTGTGAGGGAGGTGATGACTAGTGTGGGTCAGCATGGGCTTGTTTACACATTACAGACCACACAGACAAGACACGGTTAAGACACCATATGTACGCCATGTGTGTCTCAATTAAAGGCAGGCAGTGACTGCTCAACTGCTTAGCGCCACTGATGATGAGCATTAATCAGAGATTTAAGCTTGGCTACAGAAAGTCAGTGACAGGTCTGGCCTCACTGTCATAACATATTTAGTCAGACTGAGCCTTGTAGTTGAAACGTGCCGCATCACGGAAGCAACAAAAACTCATAATAGAAATCATTTGTAAGCCATTGGCTTCAGCCTGATTAAAGCATCTATGCAGAAAAGTGGTTAGAGTGGGTAATTTATAACTTTGGGTAATTTGAAAAAATGATTAAGTGAAAAAATAACTAAATAAAATAACTAAATAAAAATGTATTCAGTGTTATTGAAAAAGTGACATTCCAAACGTTGTAACACATCTCTGTTTTAGCTGTTGGTGCTCCTAAGTATTTATTGTTTATTAAAAATAAATACATTGCAATTCATTTCATTCTGTTCCATATTAATCAGGCCGTCTAGTTGGCACAGGTGAGATGATGAAACAATGGAAAACAGCAACAGTGGCGCACAAATGAAAAGCATTTCAAACAAAGCTATCAAAAAGACCAAAACACTATGCCCTCATTTAAAAGCAATCTGCTGCTGTAGTAAAGAAGTGCAACGGTACACAAGGTTCAGTCGCCTCTCTTTGAGATAAAATTTCAAATTTTACCTGTTCTGTTACAAATATTGCAAAAATTCATATACATATCTGAATTGTATTTTTGAGCTTTATAATAAATGATAAATAAATTAGCTTTATAAATATTTCATACATTCCCCTACATAGTACAGATAGTATTTGATACTGTGTCAACATGCAAACATGTTTTTGATGCTTGCACTCTTTACACATCATAACTTCCTCATGAACAGAGTGCAGGATTAACGCAAAGACAGACCTTTACTAAATGTAGATACAAATCTGCAAGACTAAAAATTAGAAAAGGCATTTAAAAAAAAACATGTTTTTTTTAATCCAGTGGTATAAAATAATCATGTTTTATAGCAACCGCACAGTTCTCATTATTGCAACAACATGCCTGAAATACAATTAATTAATAAACACTGTATATACATATATATATACATATATGCACACTGTGTCTTATCAGAGGTTATTCCAGTGTCAGTGTTTATTAATAATTTGTATTTCAGGCATGTTGTTGCAGTAATGGGAACTGTGCGGTTGCTATAGAGTCTAATAAGTAAATAAATATATAAAACTATCTTATCACAGTGTTCTTTTTCAGATGCAGTGTGTGTGCGTGTGTGTGTAACCACAAATAAAAACAAACAAGCATACTAGAACACTAACTAGCCCTGAAAGCCGAGGGCATCTTTCAAGTGGCTGGGCCGACAGTGCAGCCTCTCATCTCCAAACCTAACTGCACCAACAGGTCACAACGAGAGCTTTGATCACCGGGAAAATCTGTTTCCCATTCACATGTTCGTCTCGCTCATTGATTTTTCCATAAGGTGGCAAAGAATGATGTGAGTTTGGCTGGGTGAAGCCCCCCCAACACACTCACACACATACACCACCTCCTTCAAATGCAGGTATGTACCAGTATTAGCGGGGTTCAAAGCCTGAAATACCACAGTACCTGGTATTTAGGGGCAGCAAACATTGATGAGTGATGTGGACTGAGTGTCATTACAGCCGAGGACAGAAAGATAAAAGTGCATGTCATTATTTTAGAACAGGCACATCTGGGGGGAGATGTTTGACATAAATGATTCACTGACATTGCACTCTGCACCACTAACTACAAAACACCACATTTGTTTGTTATTTTGACAATAGGCAGCAAAAGCAAGGAGAGGGCACAGGCACTGGAGTCTCCATCTATGTGAACTCTTCATGTATGACACAATCAGTGTCACAGAAATAGTGTGAATTACTTTGTTAATGCTCCTGTTCCTGCCAATGTTAGATATTACCAATATTGGTGTCTACACTGTATTGTCACATTGTCCAATAATGATGATAATAATAATAATTTAAGCTAGGATGATCTGGTTAGATTTTAATTGGTGCCAAATGACTGATAATACCTCTGCAGTGCGCCCTCTTCCCCAAACGAAACACACAGCTCATCAGTGGAAGAAAAGAAAAAAAAACAGAAATAGAAAAGTTAAGTGGGACAGAAACTTCTTACCTGGTCCCTTTGGATGCATGGCAGAGAGGTCCGCCGATGTGACTTACTGTTGGACTGACTGTGTGCCATGTCTGACGCTATCACAGAACTGGACCTCCTGCGCCTTTTAAATACAGGGATCTCTTCCCTGGCTCCAGTCACGGGGGTGCAGCCCTCCTTGTTTCTCCCTTGGTCAGGAAGGAGCTTGTCTGCATACCTCGCCAGTAGAATGCCCAACACTCCAACCAGGTACGCCACGTAGGGTCTCCAAGTGGCCCTGACTTTGTGCAGAGAGTAGAGTGAAATGGTCCTGATGATGCCGAGGAACACTATCAGCGATATGCCCCGGTTCAGCTGCGCTACCATGAGTGCACCGGCGGCCACGCACACGAGCACGACTCCGGCCGCTGTGCTGAAGGAAAAGAGCTGCTCATCTGTCCCGTCCAGGAGTGAGCACGCCGCCGCTTCACCCAGATGGTACACGGTCAGTAGGAACAGCGCGGTCTGGATCAGAACCCGACAGCGGATCAGGTACACACCGACCCAGAAGAAGGCACATAAGGAGGTGAAGAGGGGCGAAAGCAAACTCCAGCAAGTTTGTCCCAGCTCCGCTGCGCAGCCTGTAACGAAGTGGAGAGCGGACGAGGATAGAGACAGTGTGTTTCCAGCACTGCTGCTGCTGCTACTGCTGCTGCTGCTACTGTTGGCCTCAGCTCTCCAATCTGCACATTTGACCAACAGAGTGAGAAAAAGAGAAAGCGACCCCACACACAGCGCACTCCGGAGTCTCTGGGAACTCCATATTTTTGTGAACATTAGCCTCACCCACGACTCGTAGCCTCGGTCACGGCACAGTGGAATGACACATGCTTTCACATAACCATTGCGATCCTGTGCGCCACAGCTTTTTTCATGAGCACTGCCATGCGCACCGGTACTGTTGGTGTGTGCAGGCATCGCCATCACTCATGGCAGATATGAACTATGAGGAAGTCAATAATACATCTATAGCAGTGCAGTCAGAGGACAGGACGTGGCTCGACGAGAGAACAAACGTACTTTATTGTACGCATTGTGAAAAAGTACCAGGAACGCGCACCGACGTGCCTCCATTTACGCACGGAGCTGAACTCCCACTGAACGTTTTCTCTTTGTTTTTAGGTGCTGGTTGACAGAGTTGCACCCAGATCCGTCCTACTGGACCTGGATATAGTCAAAGGCTGTGGAGTTCTAGGCCACTTGTTCTTTGTGCACACGCGTGCTGCTTTGTCCTCTTTTGTGGTGAGCCGTCTCTTTGACTTTTGTTGCCATTCTCCTCGACGCGTGGCTCCACGGCCGGATCCGTGAAACATCCAGTCACAAACAGACACTTCTGTCCGTGTCCAATATTTGATCCCAGTCCATCGTCTCCAGGAGTGTTACAAGCTCCAGCTGAACACGGAGACAAACGCTGCTGCTGCTGCGGTGGCAGAATTTTAAACCTTGTGAAAATCTGTCCGTCAGATTATTGTTCAGTGTTTGGAGGTTTTGAGACCACCTCACCAGCCAGCCATGAGTCTCACATTATTCACACCCCCGATTCACCACCAAACACAGGGAGCGAGAGATTGCAGCAGCAGTAAACCCCAGCAGATAACGACAATCCTATGACTGAGTTTATACAATCATGGGTTTAAAATAACCATTTTTTATATTATATTCGTCCATAAAAGCATAGTCATTAAATGCATAAATGACAATAATCCTGTCCTAGGATTAAACTACAGTAAGACAGTGAGATAACACAGAGTAAAACAACTCAACACACCAATGACATAAAAGATGTTGAGGTGAAGTGGAAACAGAAAATGAACCAAGGTGGGGACGTTAAATGTTCAATTTATGAATTATAAGCACGTGTGAACAGGTACATTTTGAGTGCTTGAGGAGCAGTGAGTCAGAGCTACTGGAAACTCTGCCCCTCATGGAGCCAAGGTGGGCGCAGGGGTCAGAAAGGTCAAGACATGAAGAGGATCTGAGAGATATAATATATTAGGGTGTGATACTTTTGACTTGTTGACCAATGTGTGAAGGCCACAGTGTTGGTCCTGGTCCAGTGATGGACCTGTTTGTTAAAGATCTGTTTCAGGTGGTGATCCACAGAGGGATGAACGTATTTTTCAGAAAGTTATCAAACAGCCTTCGCGTAAATTAGTGTCTGGGCACTGACAAGACAAACAAGAGTGTTGCAATCTGTTAAGCTGTGAAATTCCCAGAATAGTTCTGTGGTTTCCTTTCTGCTGTTTCCTCCAGTCCCCTCGACGTCGAGCTGTTAGAATATTCATTCCTCTTTAAGTGTCACTGATGAGAGGCTGCATCACAGTTGTCACCATTTCCATCAATGTTTCATTCAGGATGCAGTCCTTCTGTGGCCACGAGGACATGTGCTTGCAGTCCGTTGCGCATGTAACTTCCTCACGGGATCGCACTCTCACACATTAGGGTGGATATATGCAAATGCTGAGGCAACTGCAGCTCAGTGGGCACATCTAATCTTACTCACGTTTGCTGAGGCACATCCAAAGACGCTGACGTAAAAGCAGAATATCAGTTTCTTCCTCCACTGCAATTTTCTTTCTCGCCACTTTCCTCACACACGGAGGGAGTGAGTGAGTGAGCGAGAGAGAGAGCGAGAGAGGGAGGGAGACTTCCATATTTGTATTGTACAATAAAGTACAAGGGCAAACAACTGAATGTCTCCTATTAACTGAGTAAAGTAAAAAGATAAACTGATGTCCTGAACTGCAGTAAAGTGTGTTGCTGACACTGTCTGTGTTCCAGCCTCTTCAAATGTCTTCCATGACTTTCTCTACCTGTATTACTTCAGATTGAGACACATCTCCTTACATCCACTGGCGTAGACAGATTACCCATGAACCCCCTTGTCAGTTGTTATAAGTGGGAAGCAGTTGGAGAAGAGAAAGGGAGAGATAGTAGCAGGGAGAGGCCAGGTCCTGTCCATCATCATACACCACAGAGGACAGTTAGTGGAGCTACACGTGAGCGCAGATGTTTTAGCAGCACCTGGTGTAAAAAGTTCCTTTCTGATGTGATTGGCTGTTTGTTGAGGGTGACTGGAACAGAACCATCTGATTTCCAGATTTTACAAACTGATGAAGAACAAGACCAAAATATGTTCAGTTCAAACACAATGCCTGATGATGCACTCAGGTCAAATCCCTGGTTCTCTGTGATGGGCCAAAGCATCATGGACATCATAGAAGTACAAAACTTGGAGTACTAGTTTGGCATGAGTTTGAACTGAACACGTATCAACCAGATGAACAGAGAAAAGGAAGTTTGTCTGATGTCTCGTTAGCCTTATCTAACACCTGTATGTATGACATCATTAATACTATTTGTACATGTTGCCATGTTTTCCTCCAGTATGTAAATACATTTCAGTCTAAAATAAAAGTTCATATGAAAAGTCCTCTTGAATTCTATTGCATCATTGGTAAATGTAAACACTCACGCTAGTCCTCAGGTCCAACCTTTCGGTTGTCTCAACAAGCACAGCTAAAGGCCATTCTGAACTAATTGTAAGAATTTTAACAACTTGGGAACGCACACGTGAATGACTTACTGCATTTGTCACGGTCCATTGTAAGAGAGGTATCTTTTAAGAGGTTCATGGCATCAGACATCTGGTTTCGATGCTGCAGCGGGGGCAGTTGTGTGTTGACCACCCCCAGACCTGAGCTGACCCTCGGGGGCAACAGATGACAGGTCTGATGAATACTCAGGAAGTGTGAATGTCTGAAGGCTGGTTTCCTACAGAGATATTTGCCATTACTCATATTAATATGTAAACAAACTAACATGTCTGATGTGACTCAACTATGGAAACAACCAATGAATCAGGTCCCAAGGATCTCGGTTTGGGTGCCAAAGCTAATGAAAAGATTCACATCTGAGTTAAGACTTTTGTGAAATGTAAGATTACATTTTGTTAAGCTTTAGTAGAAAAGGTTCAGCTTCGCCTTAGTATCATATTTACGTTGACATACAATCGAATGTTTGATCACAAATGACATGATTGGAAGCTAAAACTTGTGCATTATTTATGAACAGGTAACAGGTAGAAAAAAGGTCAAGCCAAATATATAAAGAAACAGCAAAATATGAGTAAATAAAACTCAGATTTTTCCCTAAAGCTATGAAATGGTAGCAAAAAATATCTTTAAATAAATATAAAAATCAAAAATACAATTGTAGGAGACAAATCTACTGCTTGAAAACTCATTTTTAAACCCTCAAATTCCCAAAAAGCTCATGTTCTGATGGAATAAAAGAAAATACATTTAGAAATCAGCTCAATTTTCCATCTGTGGCACAGATAAAGAAAATGTTGAAATTGAAATCTGTGTACATCGTTGACCCCTCCCCTCCTCCTCCCACAGAAGTGGGGCTTGCCCCCCACTTTGGGAACCACAGCTTTAAGACATATACTGCCTGAATCATACCACATTAAACAGACTACATGATGATTCAGATTTCATAGACCACAAATGACCAGAAGGGGAAAAAAGAAGTCAGGAGAAACTGAATGAAGTGATGGAAACAAGTTTACACTGTGTTTGGCACTTGTGTTCACAGAGTGAGATCTACTGCAGCATGTTTACCAGCCCTCATGGGCAACGGCTGGATGATGGCCAAGTTTCCATAGAGGGGCTGTGAACACACACACACACACACACGAGCCAGTGCCATCACATCCACAGTCGTGCCCGTTCACGTGTGTACACACATATGTTAGTGCCACAGAGGAGGAAACCTGAGGAATGGACGGACTAACATCGTCTTTCAGGAACAGTCGTCTGACCTGACGTAGCTGTTCGTAATTAAAGACTTTATATAAAGACACACATGTTAACAATTAAGGAGCTGCTCACAGGCTTGTTAAACAGACTGTAGACCCTGTTGATAGTCATTGTAAAACAATTATCAGTGTGCACGACCACTAATGTGATTCTGCAGAATTCTGTAACAATTCATTCATTTTCTACGGATTAATTACTCCCAGCTGTCGAGGGTGGGTCACAGCCCAGGCACTGACCAGTCCATACTGTGGAGATAAACAACCATCCACACTGACTTTTATACTGTACATGCAGAATGATCTTCATTTACATACAGTCCTGTTCAACAAATGCTGGGTGTTTTGAGACTTTGGGAGGAGAGCAGAGCACCTGGAGAACCAGCAATCACCATGAACACTCCATACTGAAAGACCTCTACTTACTCTTCAAGCACTTGGCCTGTATATTGGTATGTCATTTAAACTAAAAATTAAAAAAAACACACAAAAAACATGCTAATAAGAGTTACTCAATTAAGTTACTTGGTGCATTAAAAACAGAAAATTAAAAACAGAAAATCCCCTGCTTCAACAGGATTAAAATCACTGGCTTAAAATTTATTAAAAAAAGAAAAAAAAAATCAACAGATTTTCTAAATTTTACTAGTTTATATTTAAGCACAATTTAATTATATTTAAACAAAAAAATTATATATGCACACGACTGTACAACCAGTGGTAGAAAAATACCTTAAAACTAAATCCATATTAATCCACAGTTAACAACCCAAACACCACAGTTCCCCAGTGTGCATGGTATTTGTTTGTTCTTCATTTTCTTGACCAAACCACAGGTTAATGAGAACAGACAACAATCTGATCTGTGACAAACAGGATCTACTTCTGCAGGTAACTACAGATTACTAGAGGCTACGGCTGCCGCCTCCTTTCTGTGTTTGTTGGTAAACATGACTGCTGAGTGTGTACAGCGCTGTTTGCTGTGTTTACCCTGCCAGGAGATCCACTACTTCTTCAAGCAGTGAGCAGTGTTAAAAGAAGTACACTGCAGGTATCATTTCAACGTCATCAGTAGTAGGGAACCACAGGAAAGAAACTTGTGGCTTGTACTGTAGGAGGCGTTCATATACACTCTTTATACTAGTACTACACTTTTAAGAAAGGGATTGGAGTCACATCACCATGATCACCATCACTAAACTTTCAAGTTTAGACACAATTTGTTTAATGACTTAGGTCAACCTCATTTCCACCAGGGGGCCACATATGCAATACAGTACAGGCCCAGTTGTAAATGGAAGACTGTATAGATGTAACTACTCCATAACAAATCAATATAATATGTTTCTGCAACTGATTATTATTTATTCCAGGTACAAATATTGTTCATCACTGTGTAATAAAAAAAACCTTTTAATTTCTCAGGTTAAAAAACTGACCTCATGATAAGTTGATTAAACACTTTTGAAGTCCAACACATACTTATGTGAACTGGACATTTATGATGACCATAGGTTAGAGTTTGAGTGTGAACGGTTGTTTCTCTCTCAGTCAGTGGACTGGCTGTCAGTACAGGTGGTACAGCGCCTTCACCGATGACTCAGGTGATCGGCTTCTTTGAAAAGTATCAGGTTTTTAAATTGAGAAAGTCATTGTTGAGCCTCACAGGACACTGTACTGATTTTTCACATGAAAATGTGAACTGCGCAGCTTCATTTCTAGCAGCATATCCAATTAAGATTAGCGTCTAAAACTGGATTTTTATTAGATGTATGAAGATCAAATCAGACCTGTAAGAAACACCGATCCGGAATCCCAATGTTATCACATGACCGTGTTATGGAGATATGGTCTAATGAAGTATTACCACTTTCTGTGTGTGAACTCTACAATAAATTATTTTACACGAAAAATATTGTGCTGAATTTGTGAATGAGGGCTTAATTCACTGGAGTGGGTGGAAGTACTGTGGAGAGAGAGAGGGAGAGAGAGAGGGAGAGAGAGTTAAAGCAATGTTTCGGATGAATAATGAAATTCCAAGGAATGGGTAGAAAGGCAGCTGCGATTTGACTGCATACATATTCAGACAAGTTAGAAAAGTTGTGTGAATGAGTCCTAAATATTTCAGAGCAAAGTTTTCAAAGCTGTTCTGCCACAGCAGCTCTGTCACACCACGGCAGTTGGCTCAGGACGTAGTTGACATTATATGCACAATCTTTATGGTTATCGAGAAAAGAAAAAGAAAAACCTGCAAAAACATTTTTTAAAAACTGTGTGAAACACACATTTACTTCATAGGTCCCTTTTTAAAATAATGCAAAATAAAAGTGCAGATCAGGGTTTGACACTCCAGGCAGCCTAGGGTAATTGCTGTGTGTTTATTCAATACATGCCAGGAAAAACACTGGCCTTCTACCTTGGAGTTGTCCAGCACACAAAAGCTAGCTTTCATATGGGCATCTGGGCCAGACGAGAAAGGCCAAAGGAGCTGACTGCTTACTTTTTTTTTTTTTTGACGTCACTTTTTATGTTTTCCTAAACATGAGGAATGCTGTTGAGAGCTAGGTCCCAGGAACAGATCTTTCAGCTCTATTCACTTGTCAAGGAAACAGGAGTTCATGGGTAAAGTGCTTCACTGCATCTTTCCAGCTAGGAAAAAGACAAGAGTAATGGACAGCCTTTTCCAAACGCATAAACACCAACAACAATCAAAGGAGTTGTTTTTGAAGGCAGCATACTTCTGCCGTCTTCTAATGTTTAACCAACTAATTACCTGGAACAAGTCCTTAATTGGAATCATCACAAAACTGTGCAAATACAGCTTTGTTGATTTTCTTCAGCTGGAGGATCAAATGGACCTTTATGGGATGACAAAACCCTGTAAATCCTCTGTACTTCTGCTCATAAAGCCCTTTCAAGGACAAGTGGATTAACTTAACGTCCACCCAGACTAAAAACAAGCCCCCATTGTCAGAGCTTATGTAGCCCACAGTCTGGAAAAAGTCAAATAAATTGCTTATTCCAGTACATTCCAGTACGGGAAGGTAAATCTCTGATAAGCTGAAGTATTTTCTTTGGTTCTGTTTAAAATAAAGATATGTGAGCTTTATTTACAACAAACAGTTACAGTATTAATCTGTACTGTAACAACAGATGACTGGGTTGATATTGGTACACACACCATAATCACATGTAAAGAAAACAACCGCTCACACCAGCATTTACTCCTTCAACGTTTTTGAAAAGACAGCGAGAGTAAAACCGACAGTCGCACAGGGAAAAAACACAACACACAAACACAGCAGTTCAAGCAAGGATTCAAACTCATGCCCTTCCTACTGTAAGGCAAGATCACTTACTCGTAAGCAACTATGCATATTTGGCAAGTGTTTTTAGATACATTCAATATCTTTTCACGGTATTTACCAGGATGTTTTCTTTGCTCACAGGATTTTCCTTTGTAAGGAAGAGACAAAGCTGGTAGATTCAATTATTTTGGCTGAATATAGATGTTATCTCTTTTCGGTTGATTTAACCACAGTGTTTGTCCGTTTGGTCCAGTTAATATTGTCCCAAATGTTAACAAATGTTTTGGATTGTTAAGGTGTGGATAGACAAAGAAATGTTGCTGCTGGTCTCTGCTCCAGGTTTTCTTCCTCCTAGATTATTTTTCCTTATGGTTATTAACATTTACAAGGTTCTCATTTCTGGATGCACTGAAGCGTCCCCCTGACATTAGACTTCAGGGTCTGTCTTTTACTGCAGGGCTGATGCTCTTGTCTTCTGTTCTGTGACCAAAATGTCCTCCTTTAAAACTAAAAAAGAAAAAAATCACCAGGTTGAAAAAAGATAGAAGATGGTAAGGCCTAATTTGGGACACTTAGTTTAATGATAATTTTACTACAAAGACGAGCATGAAGACAAACTAACCAAGCCTAATAGTGACTGAGGCTGCAAACACACACACACACCATGTATCCATGTACACTCTGTGTACTCTGACCTTGTGATCCTATAGTGATCCTATAGTTACAGTATCCAGTCAGTGACAGTCATTGGCCATTACTTATTGCCAGTCTTCCTGCTAATGGAATCGTAATGAACAAAACTGTCATAATGTTCAACTAAAGAAGATGTAAAACTAGCAGTGAGACCAACAGTCATTTAAGGAAGCACTTTGTCATATGAAGTACTTTTAAAACCAATCACTGTGTATTACTGTCTACTACCAGGGCTTCACTCTTCCAACTGAATGTCTACATGCACTGGCCAAGCATAAGTGTTATATAATAAGTTATCAAAATCAAAAAACAAACTACCCAAAAACAGGCTCAAAGGATGATACAGTACATTTAAAACTCCAAAAGGTAGGACCACAGTAATTCCAAGGACTTTACATTCAGGCCTAGGAAAACGCTGCTATTGGTACTTTGTTTTGCCAGCTATGCTGACTTCATGCATTAGAATCAGTGTCCGGCAGTAAAGGTCAGATTCCAAGCTGCCAGTAATGACTTGAGTGACTGACGGCTACTTAACTCTCCCGGGGTGTAAATATGTTGTTGGAGAGTGTGTCTGGCTGCTGAGAGAGAACTTCACACACAGAGGAATCTGAAGCACATGCTGCTGGTCTCCCACATACCAGACATGAGCAATCACCAAGGATGAAAACAAACCTATGGAAGAACTTAGGTTGCCTCTCAGACAGAGCCAACGACTGTGGGTTTTCAAGGAAACAACTTTTATAAAGTCTACACTCTCTACTAAATTATTGACTTATGGTAGAACACCATTTTGCACTGTGATTAAATTAGTATGACAGGGAAACTGGTATTTAGCAGACGGGGAAACAGCGATAAGACAGGACACTACATCAGACTTCCTGTCCCCGTCCAAGCTTTGTCCCCAGGCTTTCATCTCACATGGCTGGTCTTTATCTTCAGAGTCTCCTGACAGAACCTTTTTTATTCCTGTCTTTTTTCAGGAATTTTTTATTTGGGATGGAGGCTTTTAAGCTGCCATGTATCCGACACAGCTCTAACAGTTTATCCTGGTTGCCATCACACAGCATTGTGCCGGCGCTCATCAGGACAGGGGCCGATATCCATGAAGTGTGTGGTCCTTCACAAAAAGTAGGCAGATGGAGGGTTCCATTTACAATGTAACTTCTCTATCAATAACATTTTATGAGGGAAAGCGCACCTGGAAGATACCATAAACAGAGACTTTTAAGGAAGGAATTTTTTGCTCTTAATTTGAACGTATAAAGTTCCCCTTCATTTTTTCCCTTTTTGAACTGAGGAGCAGGGTGGGTTAAGATCTCCCATTAAGAAGAGTGTAAGACAGTTGTGTAGATGGCAGTACACTTAGAAACTCATATTAAGATTTCCCGGTGGCCGTTTGATGTCATTTAATGCAGGAAGGCTGTCTAAAGTAAACCTCACTAAGAGCTTATATTTGTCATTTGATCCAGTCTGCTCTTTGTAAACACTACGCGAAAAATGTAAACACACTTCTACCCTATACATTAAGATTACTGCATGTCATTTATTTAAGTC